GGCCTCGCAGTTGGGGAAGGGCACCACATATACTGGAAGACGCCTCGACCACGCCGACGCGAAGAAATCCACATCCGGAGTCCCGAACGTCTGGCACAGCCAACTGAAGGAGTTGGTGTCGACCGTCCATTCTCTGGAAAGGGGAAGGAAACGAGACAAGCCGTCCACCAAGATGTTGGACACCCCCCGGACATGAACCACCAAGAAAGCCAAACCCCAAGAACTCAGCAGATGAGTCACCCGAAGCGACCAGCCCCAAAGAGCCAAGGACCACATCGAACCCCCTCGGTTCAGGCAATGAACTACCGAGGAGCAGTCCGAATGGAGCTGGATCGTCGATCCGCGAGCGACTCGAACCCTCTGGAGCAACAACCACACCGCCGCGAACTCCCGGACCATGCTGTGAGCCCGACAAAAGGACGGACCCCATCGCCCCTGGCCGACCTGGTGAGCACTGGTCACAAAACCACAGCCAAGAGACAACGCGTCCATGTACACATCGAGCGAGGGCTCAGGTAGGCGCCAAGGCACTGAACCCTCGAAAAACTCTAAGAGGAAGCCGGCGACACAGCAACCGACGCAAAACCTCTGGAGGCCAAACCCAACGATAGCGAGAGAGGCGGAAGGGCCGTCCCCGAAGGAACCAGAACAGGTGACGAAGCCACACCCGACCCGGCGAGTAGACCATCATGGCAAAGTTCAGGCTCCCGCACAAACTCTCGAGCAACCACCGCGTGACCCAGGAACCCCTCAGAAACAGGTAAAGGCGGGACCGCAGGCGAAGCAGAGCCGCCGGAGGCAGAGACAAGGAAGCGGTCCGAACGTCCCAAACCAGACCCAGCCAAGACCGAACCTGAGAGGGAACCAGATGAGACTTTTCCAGTTTACCAAGAACCCGAACCCGGCGAGCTGGGAAAGAACCAAATCCCTGGCGAGCAGACACGCGGACTAGCTGGAGCCCAAACCAGCCAGTCGTCGAGGTAGGCCAGAACCTGAACACCTAACAGACGCAGGTGGGACACCACGACCCGTGTAAGGTGTGTGAAAACGCAAGGCGCCAGATTCAACCCAAAGGGAAGACAACGAAAGCGGTAACCCTGACGCCCCACAACAAAACCAAGCCAGTCCCTGAACCTTGGGTGAACTGGGACGTGCCAATACACATCCTTGAGGTCCAGGGACACCATCCAAGCGCCCGGCTCCAATAGAAGATGGACCTGGGATAGAGTAGTTATCCTGAAGGAGAGGCAATAAACCCACAGGTTCAGACGGGACAAGTCCAGAATGAACCGGAGGTCCGCACAGTCCCGTTTCGGGACTGGAAACAGGCGGGAATCCCACCTGAGGGACACCGTTGTTTCGACCACACCCAAGCGAACCCACTCTGAGATGACCCGACAGACACAGGTGGAAACTTAGTACCCAGATGAGCCACAGAGACGTTAGAAAGAATTTTTTCAGTGTCAGAGTAGTTAAATGGAATGCACTAGGAAGTGATGTGGTGGAGGCTGACTCCATACACAGTTTCAAATGTAGATATGATAGAGCCCAGTAGGCTCAGGAATCTGTACACCAGTTGATTGACAGTTGAGAGGCGGAACCAAAGAGCCAAAGCTCAACCCCCACAACCACAATTAGGTGAGTACAATTGGTTGAGTACAGAGCGCAGGAGAAGAGGCCTGCCCCGCCAGCCCTGAACCCCCTCTAAGGAGGGAGGAGCACCTAATGCCACCACAGGCCGCATGAAAAGACCAGAAAAGCCCACGAATCATGGGACCAGACGCGAGCAAACAGGGCGAGCCACCCCCCATCAATGGGACGAACCGCAAAAGGGCCGACGCGCCTCGTGAGAACCCATGCGGCAAAGAGGGCGATCCCCGCGCCAACCAGAAACAGCCAGAACCGTAAGCTGCACCTGCCCTGAATCTGGCACCAATGGCCATGACGAAAAGTTTCCCGAGCCCTGGCACGACCCTTCCGGGAAGGCCCCCCACGAGCCCCCAGGGGCAACAACAACAACTCGAACATAGGCCAACAACTAACCGAGGCCGCCTGCAGGTACTGCACCACAGCAGACTCGACAAACAGCATCAGACAAAAAGGCGAAGACAACCGAAGAGCCAGGGCTCAAACGGAATCTAAAGAAGAAGCCAGCACCGCCTGCTGACACGCGAGGTGAGAAGCATAGTACCGCGAAACCGCATCCTGCAGGAGTAGCGCGAAGAGCTTCAACAGAGCAGACGACGCCTGCACTGCGGAAGGCAGCGCACCGAATTAGGTAAGTACCGGACCCGGCAGCGCCCCCAAGTTCCCCTACATCCAACTCAAGTCAGTCCGAGGACAGCTCAAGGAGGGAAAAGAAACGCCAGTGCTGAAGCAAGCAGGCCACGAGTAGGCAAATCCTCCGCAATCAAGGCAGCTGAAAGGAAAGGAACCTGCACGTGAAGCTGCATGACTCCAACATCCCGCAGAAGGGCAGGGGCGAACAAACAAGCATTGAGATGCTCGAAGTTGCCCTCCTCCCAGGAAAACCTGAAACGCCAACTGAGTCTTTTACCACTCAAGCGCGCGGGACCGACAAAACGTGTGCCAAGCCTCCAACGAGAAAAGAGGACAGTCTGCCAACCAGGACGACTCCAGAACTTCATAATGAACCCAGTACGAACTAGAAGAGCCGTACACGAAGGAACGCGGATCCATCACGAAGGCATAATCCAGGTTGCGCAGGAGGTAAGCCTCCAAGGCCTCCCGCACCGCAGAAGACGAGACGTGGGAAGCCAGAAACCTCCGGAAAGACGGAACCAAAGAACCTGCAGGATCACGGAACCGAACCCGGGGAGGGATGCACACCAAATCCAACTCGTACGCGGAGGGATTAAATGAGAACCCCCCCCTCTCCTTTTAACACCAAGCCCTGCTTGGAGGGCAGAAAAACCCAGGCGGGGTCCAAAGGGGAGCAAGGCCCCAAGCCAACCCGTCCCCAAACCCGGGAACTTCACCCTGAGGACCCGGGGCTGAGCTGGCCTCCAAACCCCCACCTCCAAAGAAAAGGCGGGAGCTGCCGAAAAAGGAGGAACGAAGGGGGCCCACTGGCCAGACCCAGAAGCTCCGGCAGGACCAAGCTCAAATGCCTCCGCCGCAACCCCAGAAGGGGCCACCCCCAAGACAGCCTGAGTCTCAACACCAACTAGACCCTGCCCCGACTCCGAAACCGCTCAGACGCTTTGGAGCCGGAAACAAAGGGGGAGGGGGATTGAATGAACTACAGAAGGGGGAAGGACTAGGAGGGGAGGATGGAACCAAAGCCGAAGCGACTCCCACCCCCAAGTCCGGGTCCCTATAACCAAAACGGGGCAGTCTCAGGTCATCCGGGGCTGCAACCAACCGAGTGCATTGCAGCAACCTAAATCTAGCATGCAACTTCTTAGCTGCCTGCACCCACAAATCATCATCAGTGGCTTGGGTGAACAGGAGTACGTACAGACAACATACGTCGCACGACTCGGGGTCAAAACAATCACTGACCCAACAGGCAGCATGGTGGGAGCAAAGCCTGTGAGTGTCACCCTGAGACAAGGGGACAGAGCAACCTTTAAACCCGCAAGACGCGAGAGGGGACTCAGCGGTCACATCCATTGGACCACATAGCCCCCGTGGAGTTTCCTTAGCCTTGGTAGCATGCTAAGGAAAGCCCAGGCAGGGTACTACCAAACCGGTGTCCAAATCTACCAAACAAACTCCTAAAGCTGAACCCCCGGGATGTGTCTACTCACGGGGGCCAAGAGGGAAGGACCACCCACACAAAGGGAGAGATATATACATCCCAAGAACAGTGATGGGGGACGACAACGGCAGACCCCCCCCCCCTACCAGACAGAAAACAAAAACAAAAGAAAAACCCCGCAAGAGGACAGTGTACCCAGGCAAAACAGAGCCGGCTGCTGTTAATGGTGAAAACTACCTGAGCAGTACCCTACACCCCTGCCAGTGGCGAAAACTGCCCTCTACCCTATATTAAGAGATAAACAAGGGTAAGACAAAAAAAAGCTGACCCCAAGGGCGGCCAAATACTGAACAGTAAACGGCACAGCGGAGGTAGATCCCGAGGTGACTTGTGGAAGGTGGCCCAAAGCCCCAAGGGCAGTACTTACAGGGCATCTAGGGAAGGAGACCCTAGGCGCATGCAGCCCGAGTACTGTGGAATATCACTCCTGGCTCACGCACCACCTGAAGGGACAGCCCACACTACAGGGCACAGAACTGCAACGAAAAACTGGAGACGGAGGCACAAGCACATCTGACCCCCATCAGCCAAGAACTGTAGGTTGGGTCGCCGACGGATGGGTCTGGGGCTCCCCTTTCCCCCTCCTGGTGAGGGGAGGGGGTTTTGCAGACAGCGGCGCGGTGACATGACGACGTCATGCTAGTTTGCCAATTTTCGTTTGGGGAGTTCTGTTCACCTTTCGGACGCAATAATTTTACCAGAATACGGGTTTCTTTTGGGGCGCCTACCTTTCTGGGTGCCTGTCCCGGTCGATGGCAGACATAAAATGCTCCCAACCACAGGGGAGTCTCTATAGGCCATTGCTCCTCGTGCCTCTCTAGAGGGGGGCCAGGTTCTGGCTCGTGGTTCCCAGTAGGCAAGCATTCCATGCATTGACTGATGCCAGACAGATATACATATCCATCCAGCCTGGATAGCGCTGGGGAGCCGACGGGGCTCCCCCCAGAAATATTAGAAGGTTTTCTTTTGCAGAATGTTAGATGTTGGAAGTGAGGTGGTGGCGGTCAAAACCGTCAGTAGTTTCAAGTGTTCCCAAGTAGTATTACTGGGCGATAGGACACCATGAGCATCCTGTAAGTACACAGTTACAACTGTAACTGTAAATTACACTTTGGTAACTACACTTATATAATTACTCCAATTACTTGCTCCACTTGTAATGGAGCAAGTGAATACAATCTTTTTTATTTTGCTCAAAGAATATTACCACACTCACTCTTTTCCAGCAGGTCTTAAAATTTTTGTAATGGGCTTGCAAGGAAAAGGTCCATATACAGTCTGGGGTCCATCAGTGGGCTGAGCAGAATCTGTAGCTGACCAGACCATGTAGCTGCCATCATTGTGCGAGGTAGTAAAGTGTGCAGTATCAGCATGCCAACACACACACTCCAGCTGCTGGCTACACACATATGTCTGCAAATATATTAACAAAACTGAGTGACTAGATATGCAAAATGTTTGTATTAACGTTATACACAAAAGGATTGGATAAGAGAAATTCTTCTAGGAAACTGAAACTGGTATTTAATTATAAAAAGACTTACCTTCATCCAACAGTTTACAACTTGTGAAGTGAAACAGTAAATTATTACGATATTTTACAGCTGCCAGGTTCAAAAAGTCTACAGGACATCAAATAATTGTCGATTTCTAATTCAGTAAATCCCCTTATCAGCCTTTTTTCTTACAAATAACATATAACTTTCCCAGCTGCTTTCCTCTCGCATTAATACACATCCAACACACCAAATATTTTTATTAAGAAATACAGTGAACACCTGATTAATAATGTTTTATCTGAGCTGCTGAGTGGGCCAATTTAAGTTCAGAGTTATTTTGCACAATCTACTAAACTAACAACAGGAAATAATAAGGGAGTTAATGTAGCTGAGTGTACAGTATACTGTATTGCAAATGGCACACACCCAAAACATCAAAGTGAAAGTACAGGTACAGTATAGTGGTGCAATATGACAGATATTCAACCCAACCCATCCTCCTCTCTAGATAGTACTTTTGTGACTGTGTGCACCATAGTTCAAACATTGACATACTAAGTTATTAGATAGTAGAATTTAGTACTATTTACTTTATAAGAGTCCAAAAAAAAAACAGCGTTGTGTATGAGCCTGAACTTGGCCCCCCTCAGAGGCAGAGGGAGCAATGGCCCTGGAAAACCCCCGTTGTGGTTGGGGGATTTCCTTATGTGCCATTGACCAGGGTTAAGCACCCAGAAAGGTAGGCATTACAAAACAGACCTCACATGGTAAGAAAATTGAAACCGTAAACCGAACAGAGAGACAGAACTCCCTCCAATCCCAAGGAAACAAACAAACTTCTCACTCCATTCCACCCCCCCCCCAGCCCCCGGACCCCCAGCGACACAGCCACTCTGGTTCGGAGGCTAAGTATTAACCACGTGAAAACCTTGATCGGAGGGAGGGAGGGTTGTCAGCGAGCCTCCAGGGCTCACCCAGAAAATGGTATTTCCTTACATTCAACAGTGGTTTTCTGTAGGGAGCCCCTTCGGTTCCCTGGAGCTACATAACCAAAGATAAGGGAAAGATGGACTTTCCAGGGAGGCAGCTGCCACACACTCCTCAATGCAAAGTCGAGAGAACTGGCTGCAACTTGCGACCCAAAGCAACACAAAAATTCCCAGGCCCGGGAACAGTAACCAAATATCGGGCGGCCAGGACCCTATTCGACCTCCAAAATCCCCACATCAGAATATCAACCCAAGACATGTTACCAAACACGGCAGCCAATGCTGCAAACTCCATAATGAAGTGGGGGCACGTGGATAGATCGCAAAATTGCTAGACTTAATAACCCTGTGGACAACCTGAGAGACTTGAGCTCTGGAACAGGGAATGAGGGAAACAGGATCAACCCAAAGCGCATCCATGGCCACAGAAGCCAAGGTGTGCAGGTAACAGTGAGGAGTCGCAACCGGACACAAGACATGATGCACCCTGGTCTCACCAACCAAGCATCAATGACCCAAGGACCCCTATGGAAGGCAGCTGTCTCATTCTTCGCCAGAAAAGGAGAAGACTGCAACCGAACAAACCGACTAACAGGACCGAAGGAGCAGAAATCCCTGCGCCAGAGGAGAAGATGAAGCTCACCGACTCGAACCTCAGGCCAAAACCAACAGAAAAGAGCCTTGAAAAAACAATCTTGAACCGAAGAGGCCACCACGAACCAAGAAGAAAGAAAGATAAGAGAGCACCTTGTCCAAGGACCAGGATGGCTCAGGCAATGCATGAGCAGGCCGGAGCTGAAACAAAGCACAAGAAAGCTTACGGTATGGGGCAGAAGAAACATCCACCCCAAAAGCAAGCTGGAGGAGCTCTGCCAGTGCCACACAATACCAGGCGACAGTATTAAGCATCAAATGACAGTCCTGAAAACCCAAGACAGAAAGAATAAGACAACCCAATTAGAAATAGAAGACAACCTATGGAGAGAGAGAAAATGGCGGAAAGAATGCCAGGAAACTTCATACTGTCGCAGAGATGAAGCTCTCAGGTGGGATGCCATCAACAAAGCCACCTGATCACCATACAAATGGTGATAAATCCGCGGCAAAAAGACCAGACGCGAAGAGCGGAGGAAAAGAAAGAACCAGCAGTGTACTGGACCAGTCCAACCTACTAGAAGAGTACTGATACCTGCTTGAGGCGGAGCTGCGGAAAATACCCCAGTTTCAGACACAGAGCAAGCAGCGCCTGAAACCAAGGCTGGGCCAGCCATCAAGGGGGCCACGAGGACTACTCTCCTGTGGTAAGACTCCAACTGAGCCAGAACACGAAGCAACAGCTGGACTGGCGGAAAGAGGTACAGGTAACCCCATCTCGACCAGTCCTGCCGAAAGGCATCCACCGCGAAAGCCTCACAGTCGGGGAAGTGCGCCACACACATTGGAAGACGATAAGACCACGCTGATGTGAAGAGGTCCACTTCTGGGAGTCCGTACGTCCGGCAGAGCCAACTGAAGGAATCAGCGTTGACCGTCCATTTTCTGGACAGGGAAATGAACCGAGACAAGCCATCAGCCAGGACATTGGACACTACCTGGATATGAACCTCATGGAGAGCCAAACTCCTTGAAGCCAGCAGATGAGTCACCTGAAGAGAACCCCCCCCCCCAGAGGCAAGGACTAAAGAGAACACCCATGGTTCTGGCAAAGAACCGCTGGAGAACAGTCCAAATGGAGCCAGATCGTCGAACGCAGAGCATCCCGGATTGTCCAAAGCGACAGCCAAACTGCCATGAACTTCCTCACTGTGCTGTGAGCCCAGCGGAAGGACAGACCCTACCGCCCCTGGCCTGCCCGGTGAGCACTGGTCACAAAGCCCCAGCTGAGAGACAACAGGTCTGGGAACACATTGAGCGAGGGCTCTGGTAGGCACCAAGGCACTAAACTCTGAAAAACACGAAGAGGAAGACGGCGACGCAGCAACCGACGCAAGCCCCCCCACAGGAGATGAACCCAGCTGTCGCGAGAGAGGTGGAAGAGGCGTCCTCGAAGAAACCAGAACAGACACCGAAGTCAAACCCAACCCAGTGGTTAGACCAGCGTGACGCAGTTCAGACTGCACAACTGCTCAAGCAACCATCGAGTGACCAGGGACCCCTCCCAGAAACAGGTGAAACTGGAAGAGCAGCTGCAGCAACACCTCTGGAGGGAGAGACATGGAAGCGGTCCGAGAATTCCAAACATGACCCAGCCAGGTCAGAACCTGGGATGGAACCAGATGGGACTTTGTCAGTTCACCAGGACCCCCAAATCCGGCAAGCTGGGAAAGAACCAGAACCCTGGCAAGCAGACAAGCAGACCAACTGGGTCCCACATCAGCTAGTTGTCGAGGCAGGCCAGAACCCGAACCCCTAGCAGATGCAGATGTGTCACCACGACCTGGGTAAGACGAGTGAAAACATGAGATGCCAGATTCAACCAAAGGGAAGGCAACTAAAATGGTAAGCTAGACGCCCAACCACAAAACCTAACCAGTCCCTGAATCCTGGATGAACAAAAATGTGCCAATATGCATCCTTGAGGTCCAGGGACACCATCCAGGCCCCTGGCTCCAACAGAAGCAGGACCTGAGACAGAGTGGTCATCAGAAGTGAGGGAAAAGGAATCCAGGAGTTCAGACGGGACAAGTCCAAAATGAACCTTGGATCTGCACAATCCTTTTTTAGTACTGGAAACAGGTGGGAAACCCACCTGAGGCATGGAGTCGTTTCAACCATGCCCAAGCGCACCCACACCAAGATGACTTGACGAAGCACAATGGAAGCAGCCTGCCCCGCCAGTCCCGAACCTCACATAAGGGAAGGGGCCGCCCAACACCACCACAGGCCGGATGACATGACCGAAAACGCCAACAAATTGTAGGACCAAGCACGAGCAAACAGAGCAAGCCTTTCCCCATCACCCCGTCAACAGGGCGAAACGCAAAAGGGCCAATGCCCCTTACGAGAAGCCCATCGCTGAACAGAGCGATCATCGTGCTGACCAGATAACTTCGGCTCTGAAGACAACTTCAATTCAGAAGCTGGCACCAATGGCCCACCTTGACCAGCGGAACCCCAAGCCCTGGCACGACCCTTCTAAGAAGGCTGAGAACGGCTGCCCCGGAGAACCAACAAGTCCGACATAGGACGACAACTAGACGAAGCCGTCTGCAGATACTGTGTGACAGCAGCCTCTGCAAACAGCAATGGACAAAACAGACACAAAAACCTAAGAGCCAGGACCAAAGTGGATTCCAAAGAGAGAGAGCGAGCACAGCCTGACATCACATGAGACGAGAAGCAAAGAACAGACACATCGCCTCCTTCAAGATAGGAGCAAACAGCTTCAACAGTACGGCCAACACCCTAGCCGCCAAGGACAGCACACCAGATGAAGCCTGCCCGAGAAGCAAAGAACACAATGCCTCTACATCCTAGCCGCCAAGGACAGCACACCAGATGAAGGCCCGGCACAATGCCTCTACATCCTCCTCAAGCCAGGCATAAGACGGCTCGAGAAGGGAAAAGAAGCACAAGACCAAAGCCAAGTTTCCATGGGTGCACAAATCCTCAGCAACCGAGGACGCTGAAAAGGTAGGAACCTGCACGTGCAGCTGTACTAGACCAACATCCTGAGAAAGCACAGGGGCAAACAAGCATGCATTAAGGCACTCAAACTCACCCCAAGGTAAACCTACAGAACGGTAGACGCTTCTCGCCACTCGAGCACTTTTACAGTCTACGTGGTGTAGTGGTAAGACACTCACCTGGCATTCCACGAGCGCTGTCATGGGTTCGTATCTTGGCCAGGAAGGATTTACTGGGCGCAATTCCTTAACTGTAGCCTCTGTTTAACTCAATAGTAAAATGGGTACTTGGTTGTAAAAATGATTCTTCATGGGGGTCGTATTCCAGGGACCTGCCCGAAACGCTACACGTACTAGTGGCTGTACGAGAATGTAACAACTCTTTGTATATTTCTCAAAAAAAAAAAAAAAAAGAGCATGCGGGACCAATAGAACCCATGCTGCCACACCCCCAACAAAAAGAAAGGGCAGTCTGCCAGCTAGGAAGACTCTGGAACTTCCAAATGCACCCAATACAGGGAAGAAGAACCAAACTCAAAGAAGGACGGATCCATAACGGAGGCGGAATCCGGTTCTTGCAGAAGATATGCTGCAAGAGCCTCTTGAACCTCCCACGGGAAGATACGAGAGGCAGAAAATCTCCGGAAGGACGAGGCTGAGGAACCCAAGGGAGCCTGGAACTGAACTCCTTTGGCTCCTCCCGGGGAGGAGCCGAACTTAAATCATACTCATACACGGAATGGGGGTAAGAAAACCCCTCCCATGCAACAAGCCCCGCAAAGAGGGCACTAACACCCAAGTGGAGTCAAAGGGAGCCCAAGGCTGTCAGGTCAACTCTTCCCCAGCCCCGGAATCCCCCAAGTCGGGACTCAGGACAGAGCAGTCCTCCATACCCTCCACCCCTGAAGAAAAGGCAGAGTCCAGGGGAAACGGCTGAAAAGAAGGGGGCATGCTGGTGGGACTCTGAAGCCTTGGCAGGAGGAACCAGCTCGAATGCCTCAGTCCCCGACCCAAATAGGGCAGCCCCCGAAGCTACCCGAGTCTCATTACCAATTAAATCCTGTTCCAACTCCGAAACCCTCAGTCATATTCATAGTAGCCTAGAAAATGTGAGAGAAAACACACCCTGTTTAGCTCTCTTTCAAAGATTTTTATGATGAGTGATGTTAGAGCTATTGGTTTATTGGTCTTTGTATCTGCATAAATACCTCTTTTGTGTAGTTGTGCAATTTCCGCTCTTTTAGGTACTTCACGGATAACACCAATATCTAAGCTCCATCTCCAAATAAGGAGAATCGAACCACCAACCCCACGGGATTGTTGCCTCTGAAATCTTTTGTATTACAGCTGTCTCATAATACAGGGGAAGAACTTCTGCCTCACACCCGTGGAGTTGGCAGCTCGAGTCTCCTAGGGCCCAAGTGAATGAGGTATTTATTTAGACTATAGTGTGGTTGACAATTTATCACATGGGCCTGGATCCATTCTTCCTATGTACTGTAACCACGCAATTATCTGGGATTCAAACATCCGGAAAACGCCCTTATACGGCCAAAATCGGGACCTGATAAAGTTCTCTCATTATCCGGCCAAAAGGGCCATGGGAATCGGATAAAAGCTGGTTTAGCCGGATAAAAAATTGGAGCCGGTTAACTTGCTGCCGATGTAGCACTATCCGGACAGTCAGCCGTATAATCATTGAATTGTCTAGAGATGAAAGCCATGGGGCGGGCCGTACTGTATTAATCCCATCTGCCTGTGGCTCGAGACGCATGGTGGAGGAGGGGGTGGGGTGGGTGGGTGGTGTTGGGAGGGTGGGAGGGGAGTGTCGGGAGGGACCACCTGGGTGCAGGAATTACCATTAATTTTAAAACAATTCATCATAGCCAAAAACAAATGAAGTAAATACTAGTAATTATGTAATAACAAATATATAAGTTTCCTAAAAACAATGTGCACAGGCTGAAGTTTCCTTTAAAAATATTGAGAGTTTTTTCCTCCTGGCGGCCTACGTGACGTGCTATAGCTGCCCCAAGTGGACCCGTCCAACACTGGTAAACCCATGTGCTCCCGTCCCTCGTGTTATACCACAGTGCTGCGCCATTAGTGAAATATTTTTTTTAAATAACTTTTTTATTTTCATAGTAATTTTACATATTTTTGGCCAAGACTATGTCTGGTAGCAGCATCAATCGTTCTGGAGGTGTTAAGAGGAGGAAGGTTGTCCTAGAAATTAAAAACAAGTTACGTGTTATACACCTCAACCAGTGAGGCATCACAGGCAAGCCAAATGCCTTCAACAAGTGAGGTGCAAGCAAGCACCTTCAACAAGTGAAGCAGAAGCAAGCGCCTTCAACAAATGAGGTATCACAGGCAAGCCAAATGCCTTCAACAAGTGAGGCGTCACAGGCAAGCCAAGCACCTTCAAGTGAGGCGCAAGCAAGCGCCTTCAACAAGTGAGGCCTCATAGGCAACCCAAATGCCTTCAACCGGTGAGGCTCCAGCAGCTGGCAGTCAAAACTAACTTTGCTTAATGAACTGTACTGTAATTTTAAGTGTTAATTTTAGTGTTGTGTTAGTATAGGTTACGTAAATTGTTAAGAATGCTTAACTTCAAGATGTGTGGCATCAATCAAGAAGACGAACAACAACAAGGTAAGTTGAGGTTTCTAGTTGAATATTCAATAATTATATGTGGCAAGGCAATTCAAATTTTTTTGTTTGTAGTATAAAAATAGTTGGAAATGGTCACTTTTGGACTCGTAGGTGAAAAGTACCATTATCCGGAACATGTGATAATCCAGCTGGGAGTCCTTCCCATATAGTCCGGATGATCGAGTGGAGACAGTACTGTACTTAGTAGCAGCTGGCAAAAGTATAAAATTTCAGGTGGGCAGTGGATTGTTGCTTCTGAAATCTTGCATACTGTAGTTGTCTCACAGTACTGTACAGGGAATGAGCTTCTGCCTCATGCCCGTGGGGTCGGCACTTCGAGTTTTTCTTCAGTATTTCAAAGTACTTGAGAAAAATTATATAATCACAGATACTGTATGGTTTACGATTTGAAAGATCCTGTGTAATGAATTTAATTAGTTTCTATGATACAACTACAGAGATTTTATAGGAGAGATGGTTGGGTTGATTGCATATATCTGGACCTAAAAAAGGCTTTAGACAGACTCCCACCTAAGAGGTTGTTCTAGAATCTCAAACATACAGGAAGTGGAGTGATAGGAAGGCTTCTAACAGGCATGAAAAAATTTTAAACTGACAGAAAAATGCGGGCAGTAATCAGAGACCATGTTTCAGACTGGAGAAATGTCACGAGTACCATAGAGTTCAGTTCGTGCAACATATATACAATACAAAAGTACAATTCAATATGAATCATGAAATGTTAATGAGTTTGCTTTTTTTTTTTTTAGAACAGACAAGTACAAGTGTACAATAACTATCTGGCAGTGGCCACATTATGCCATACTAAACCCATTTTTGATATGCTGCTTGCCAAAACAATACTGTATTTACTATATTCTAATGTGAAAAATTTTGTAATTATTTTATATGACAAACAATTTTATGTAAACAGAAACCATAAACTGATGGTCATAATTCTACCATCCTGTGGGAAAACATGCAAATGGCAATACAATGTAAATTGGTTAACATATTTGTATTTAATTAGTACCTGATCTGCACATAGATTCTTTTTGTCCCAAAGAACTATAAGGCCACGCTGATAACCAATTAATATCTTAATTGGGTCAGTAGGGTGTTCTGCAATGGCTTCAACTGGACCAGGATTCACTTTGTAATCCTCAGGAACGCTGAAATAAAAATTACAAGATACTATACTGTACTGACTTTCAAGAGACTTGATTAAGAATACAGTCCTATGCACCGATTCCAATAATTCACAATACTGTATTGCAATTAACTGTCAACAACCTGAGGTTATCCAGTACAGTACATTAAAATTCGTAGACTAGCAAAAAAAAAAAAAAATCCACACAAAAGTATTTGTGAAATTTATGTAAAGATTTACACTGAGTCTTTCACACTCTCCTGAGTGCTTTGTCAAGATCTGAGTGTGTGGTTAGGATGAGACTTACAATATCTCAATGTGTTAAGTCTCATCTAGAAACATCTCAATGACCAATGACATTAATCGTTGAGATGCGAGTATTGTCCTAACAACACATTCAGACCTTGACAAAGCACTTGGGAGAGTGCAAAAGACTTGGTGTAGATCTTTACATACATTTCACAAATACATAAGTATGGGTTTTTATCCTATGTCATTATGTCTCTGAGAAGGCATTGCTTAAAAGCAGAATTGTTAACTGTCTAGAAATAACACTTTATTTTAATTTTCTTATTCAACTGTAACACTTGTACATCCCATTCCCAAGCCTCCAATGTTACATCATTTCAACAACAAAAAATGTAAACACACAATGTCATACAGCCTTAAGTAACTGCCAAGTGCTATAAAAGTTGAGCTACTAAGGTCATTAACCATTTATCAAAGCCAATATTTCTGCAACTTACAAACTGATGAATTACAGCACATGATATTAACAAAAGTTTAGCTTTGTTACATTCATGACTTGCATTTAACACACATACTCCAATATCTGGTCATCTCTAAAATGAACACTGTGGAATGTGAATGATAAACATGGAGACCCACCACAATGCAACATTTTCTTCAGCAAGATAAAACACAACATAATTACGTAGATGATAAGAATGCCAACTACAGCAAATTTACTAAGTATACAACTCATTCCTGTGTATCAACATACTGGTAGGTGTGAACATTAGGGATGGACATGTTATAAAATGCAAAACTTACTTTTGCATGACAACATCCTGGTAAATGATGTTATCTGACATGGCAAAAGTTGACAGGTTGAGAAGATATATGTTGCCCCCTTCGGTTCCCACCAATAAATGCTCACACTTGCTGTCTGCTACAACTACACTGATTTTCTTGAGCCTGTAGAGAGAAGAGACATCTTACTTGGTACCAGGTACACGTAATCCATTCCATAAAATTAAATACAGTACTGTATATAAAAAAGATTAAAGAAGTCACACATCATTGAAGTCCTATTGGGCTATGTATTGGACCAAACATTACCCATAACGTTCTCTCACATCATTCACCACAATTACTGTAAAATCATTGATTAATTTACCACTAGTCATCATGCAAAATATTTTCCTCTTTTCAAACAAGCTCTAAATTTCCAACAAAGTTAATCACTTTAAAAGAATTTGCTTGTAAGGAATTTCAATGTAATAAATAAGAGTAGACATTACTATTACAACATTATTTTCAAACCCAAACTAGCCGAGTGAGATTTAGCAGAAAAACAACTCTTAAATAAATAGCTACCTGTATCACTAATACGTCAATGGTCTCATTTCCATATGACAAGTGAAACACAGCAATAATCCACCAGTATTTTAATCCACCATACTAATAGACACCTACCAGACACCAAGATTTTGAGTAAAGCTGCTTGTAAATTAGTTTTTCAAATATTTTAGACAAGGTTGGTATAATTGATATAGGTTTGAAATTGTCATCATCAGTGAGATCACCACATTTATGGACTAGGGTTACTCTCGTTTCTTTAGAATATCCGGAAAGGTTTGGAGTTCAAGTGATTTGTTGTAGAGCAATGCAATGGCTAGAGCTAGAAATCTAGAGGCTTTTTTTGTAAATTAGAGTTGGTATTTCAGCAAGGGCACTTGACTTTAAGAGAAAGGATTATATCAATAACATCAGAGGAATTAGCAGGAGTTAGGTACAGAGACTGGATAGTTTCTTGTAAGGTAGTAAGGTAATATTCTTTTTGTTTTCATAATGTGCATCTATTCTAATTTTTATCTTCACAGTTTTCAGTTATGATTATTGTAACTAAAGAATGTTGATCTGAGGTCTCTTAAATAATTCTTTACAAACTTTATACAATTATACTTAGTAAATATTCTGTATTTAACCCAATAATATACAGTAAAAGTGGGAAATTTTTCTTTTAGTAAAATATGAGACGTAATGTTACTTACTTTCCCTCAAGAGACGTCGAGTTGACTTGAACAAGTTGCATACCACCGGAGTCATCTAGTTGCTTTAGCTGCCATAAGTGTAGGCTGTTGTCTGCACACAGTGATACTAGACGACACTGGCACAGCACACACACACACCCACACAGGGATAGGTTATTACACACAAAATAAATCACTCTTAATAGTTAGTTGATGTACTGTTAAGTGTTAAATAATGCTCTCTACACAGGTAGACATTTTTGCTAATTATCACAAATATTGAAAAAAAAACAAAGTTAGCCTATTAATAATTAAAACAAATTTTACCTTTTTAAACTGAGATTTGAAATTTGCAATTGTATGACAAAGTGCTTAATGTACAGTATATTTAAAAGGCAGTAAACAATACAGTAATAAAAATCATGTTGAACTAACAATCCACTTAAAACTGCCATTACACTTCAAAATCTGAACACTGATATTCTGTATACAGTATTTCCATATTAAAACATAAAACAATAGCAACACAGTGTAGGAAGGGTATTCAAAACTGATGCTAAACACAGCTTCTCATGTTGTTTTTATATCAAGAAATCTTAAACCACTTAGGGGGTAAAATGAAGCCACATTATCCTAAGTAACATACTTGCCCTTGAAGAAAGGTGAGATGATTGATTGCCGATTCGTTGTTTTCGTTTTGTCCGTATAATTCGACTCCAGGTGTGCCATAGCTGTGCACAAGTTAAGGCAGATTTCTCACAAAACATTACATAAACAATATAATCATAAGAATGGGACATGGTCAATCGTCCATAAATTATGGAAACACTTAACACCTTTAAGGTAAATTCCATTGAATAATGTACTAGAAATTAGACTTCCCCCACCAACCCCACACCAAGCTCATAGTTTGATTAAATCATCAATAATCATTATCACTACCTCATTTCCCACTTCCATGGGGGGTGGAGAAGCATCAGCCAGGCCACAAGAAACAGGCATGAATGGAAAAAGATGTAGTGCCTTAAAAAAGGCACTACATCTGGAGCATCACAAAGCCAGTACTGCCACACTTCAATATACTTACTGTACATCTACAGCAGCACCTCACTTCTCCATGCAGTACAACCAGGGGTATATAAATATGTCAAGTGTTATTGAAAGATATACATTCACCATTTTGATACTGTAATGATCTGTGCAGATCATGGTTCTCCCCCCCCCCCTCTCTCTCCCACTCCTCTCCCATCTCCCCATCTCCCCTTCTCCCCTCTCCCTCCTTCTCCCTGGGAGAAAATAAACAGGGAACTTACAAACATTCAATGGGAAAATGTTCTAAGAAATAAAAATCCTACACAAGGAATAGAAAAACTGACTTCTGAAGCATATGAAGTCTGTCTGAAACATGTTCCTTTGAGGAAAGCCAGAAAGAGGTCAAATGTAGAAAGAGAACGCAAACGACATTACAAAAGAAGGAAGAAATTAACGGAAATGCTTAAGCAGACACGACTCCATACAAAGAAGAAATAGTTTAAACAGGGAGATTGAGGAAATCGAACAGAGACTGAAGCATTCCTATCAGACTGAAGAAAGGCAACTAGAACAGAAAGCAATTCAAGAAATAAAGAAAAACCCCAAATATTTCTTCACATATGCTAAATCAAAAACGAAAACCACTGCCAGTATTGGACCTATTCGTATTAGTGAAGGTTCATACACTGAGAATGACAAAGAAATTAGTGAAATCCTAAAAAAGCAGTATGAGGACATGTTTAGCACTCCGATACACAGCATGAAAGTGAAAGATTTGGACAATTTCTTTATGAATGATATTCAAACACCTGTAAATATAACTGATATCAACATGAGCGTAGCAGATTTTGAAAGAGAAATTGACAATATGCCCATGCACTCAGCCCCGGGTCCAGACTCATGGAATTCAATATTTATAAAGAAATGCAAAGTGCCAGTAGCACAGGCACTCAGTATAGTGTGGAGGAAGAGCTTGGACACTGGGGAGATACCAGATGTACTTAAAGCAGCAGACATTGCCCCTCTACACAAAAGTGGTAGCAAAGCATTCACAAAGAATTATAGACCAGCTGCACTAACGTCCCACATAATAAAAGTATTTGAGAGAGTGATCAGGAGTCAAGTCACTAGATTCATGGAAACCAATGACCTCCACAATCCAGGCCAACATGGATTTAGAGCAGGAAGATCATGCCTCTCACAGCTACTTGACCACTATGACAAAATCACTGAGGCATTAGAAGAAAAACATAATGCAGATGTCGTATACAGAGATTTTGCAAAGGCATTCGACGAATGTGACCATGGAGTGATTGCACACAAAATGAGGTCAATGGGTATAACTGGTAAAGTAGGGCGCTGGATACTCAATTTCCTGTCAAACAGAACACAAAGAGTAACAGTCAATCAAGTAAAATCGAGTCCGAGCGCAGTTAAAAGCTCTATACTTCAAGGTACAGTCCTTGCACCACTGCTGTTCCTTATTCTCATATCAGATATAAACAAAAACACAAGTCACAGCTTCGTGTCATCCTTTGCTGATGATACAAAAATCAGCATGAAAATTACCTCTGCTGAAGACATTCATAAACTACAAACAGATATTAACAAAGTTTTCAATTGGGCAGCAGAAAATAACATGATGTTTAACGGTGATAAATTCCAGGTACTCAGATACGGCAAAAATGAGGATCTTAAACATAATACAGGGTACAAAACACAATCGAATCTGCCCATAGTAGGAAAACAGCATGTCAAAGATTTGGGAATAATGATGTCCGACGACCTAACGTTTAGGGAGCATAACCAAGCAAGTATTGCGTCAGCCAGAAAAATGATAGGATGGATTACGAGAACCTTCAAGTCCAGAGATCCCATCTCAATGGTTGTACTCTTCAAATCACTTGTGTTGTCCTGTCTTGAGTACTCACTTCCCCCTACAGAGCAGGAGAGATTGCTGAAATAGAGGGAACACAGAGAACATATACGGCACGCATAGACGAGATAAAGCATCTAAATTATTGGGATCGTCTCAAAGCTCTCCAAATATACTCGCTAGAAAGAAGACGGGAGAGATACCAAATAATATACACATGGAAAATACTGGAGGGACAGGTCCCAAATCTGCACAGTAAAATAACAACGTACTGGAGTGAACGACATGGAAGAAAATGCAGAATAGAACCAGTGAAGAGCAGAGGTGCCATGGGCACAATCAGAGAACACTGTATGAAGATCAGAGGTCCACGGTTGTTCAACGTCCTACCAGCGAGCATCAGAAATATTGCAGGAACAACCGTGGACATCTTCAAGAGGAAACTAGATTGTTTTCTTCAAGGAGTGCTGGACTAACCGGGCTGTGATGGGTATGTGGGCCTGTCGGCCGCTCCAAGCAACAGCCTGGTGGACCAAACTCTCACAAGTCAAGTCTGGCCTCGGGCCGGGCTTGGGGAGTGGAAACTCCCAGAATCCCATCAACCAGGTAACCAGGTATACCTCTTCCCCTTCCCTTCCCATTTGTCACAGTCTGACCCTCTCTGGTCATAAACGGTTTGAAGTCAAGTTTTCCTTAGTCCAGTGAGCCATCGGGAGGCTAGGCAGCCCCTCTCTTTGCCCCTCTCTGTTCCCACTCCTCCCCACTTATTTTCCCTCTCTACCCCTCTCCCGTGCCTTTCCTATAACTATTGATGAATAGAAGAATAGTACCTCAGGGTCATAAACTTGTGCTCTCAAGTTACACGTGGATGGCTAGTCAGCTCTTTCCACGAGTCAGTTGTTACTGCTTATTTCCAGTACATGAGTTTTCTGTCAAGAGGAATTGACCCTTATGGTTAGGGCTGGTTCTGATTGCAGCCATGGAGGCCTAGGTTTCTTGGCCCTTGTTGGCGTAGGACTCTAGGGGCAGGGTCCCCCAGGGTAGGGCCTGACCATTCCATTGGCCCAGCCTTCAGAATATTCAGCCTTGCTTTGAATTGACTGGTGCTCCTAGCCAGAGCCAAGCTCCAGAGGAAACCCTTAGGTCTCCCAGGGGTAGTTTAAGAGAATTGAAGTCAGTGTGTCTTGTGTGGCAGTGCACAATAGAAAGTTGTTTTCACATATCCATACATTAAAACATTCATTGTAACCATGATATATATGTACTTCCGTCTACAGTTTAGACCTATTGTCTTATGTAAGACCCTCTGTCCTGCGTGACAGTGAGTACCACCATTATCCTCACTTTAATAAGACTTAATCGAAATCCTCAGATTAGGCAAAATTGTAATTGATTTTGTCAATAAAATGTTAATAATAATAAGTGTGTCTTGGGGCTTGGGGCTTACTGCGGTACAGGTCTCCTGACCTGTAGGGCAAGCCATTCAACATCTTGGCTGAGTTTGCAGGATTAAGGTAATGTGAGTTTTGGTACATCAAGTAAATTGCACACCGTTTTCCAATTGCCTCATAGAATGTCTTAGTAAAGTAGGATATATTTTTAAATTTTGTTCTCAATATAAGGGTTTTAATAAATAAAGTAATTTAATATATTTGTGTTTAGTTATCTGTTCCCTTTGATTAATGCTGTGTTATTCATTCTTATTTGTGGTTTTCATTAGCTGGGCTAGCTGGGTGTTCTCCTCCACTTTATGGATATTAGAGTTGTCCTAGAATCCTCAATCAGTAAAGATTACATTATTAATTCCCAAGATTTATTTACCAAGATTGTATTGCCCTTGAGTTCATGATTATTGATTCCCTTCCTTCCTGGGGAAGCAGTAATTTAGACACATTCAAATGGTCAGGGAGGTGGTGGCAGTGTTTAATGAGGTTTTAATTATTAGTTGTAAAAATAATAATCCCTATTCTTGTTGTTTCCTCCTCATTTAATATTTCAGCTTATATTTGTGGTAACTCAGTGAGGGGGTCATACTGAGCTTGAAGCAATGTTAAAAGCTGGGGGTGTTGAAAGGGAGTAAAAGGATAAAGAGAAGTTAAGGGTTATTACAATACCAATTCCACCTAACCTTATTCCCTACTACTTCTAATGCGCTCTTCACACAGACCCTTAGCTTCATCTGCATACAAACAACATCTGTCCATCGTTGTCACTTGCACGCACATTCTACTACTCAGTCTAATGATTTACCAACTTTTGTAATTAACATCTCTCCTTGACAGGCCCTAAACACCTTTTGGAAACAGCCTAGATAATGATGTTATCCCAATTACTTTAAACAGCAGAGATCGTGCCATTTCACAAATGAGGTAGTAAAGCAGATGCAAAATATTATAGATTAATAGCTCTAACTTCACATCATAAAAATCTTTGAAAGAGTGCTATGAAGTAAGATTATAACTCACATGGAATTACATCTACATAACGCAGAACAACATGTGTTCAGAATAGGACGCTCTTCCCTCTAACAATTGCTAGATCACTATGACATAGCTTTAGGTGCCATGGAAGACAAGCAAAACGCACATGTATCATACACAGACTTTGCAAAACTTCTGTTGAATTCGATCACAGTGTTATTGCCCACAAAAAGCTCTCAAAAGGAATTACTGGCAAAGTAGGTAGATGGCATCTCCAACTTCCTAACGAACAGAGCCCAGAGTGTAATAGTCAACACAGTAAAATCTGGATCATCTACTGTGAAAAGCTCAGTCGCCCAGAGTACCGTACTTGTTCTGGTACTTTCTCTCATCCTCACACCAG